TGTGTGTGTGTGAGCGTGCTTTTGTGGCTCTGGGCTACTTTACCCCATTTCGGGAATCCTTTTGTCAGCGGTGACAGTCGCGCGTATTATTTTTTTCTGACTTTCCTGTCCCGTGCAATCCTTGACCCCTGTCCATCTGGCGTGTTTGCACCAACTGTCGTAACAATAAGCAAAGGAGGTTTTGCCTGCGGCTTATCTTGCTCAGACATCCGCGGTGTCGCAGCCGCTTTCCTTTTTTTTTTCGCGCCGAAAAAGAACAACAAATAGGAAATCCACACGTGATTTTCATCTGTCTTCTTTTCGTCAATGTCAACTTCTTTCTCCTCGAGGTGCCGTATACTCAGCGCGAGTTTTTGGCCCGCCTCGGAAGGTCACACGTGGGCCGCCTTTGCGAAAAATGAACTGATTCGGAGGGCCGCCGCCTCGGCCTCCCAGGTACGTACCGCCAGTCACGCCGCTTCTCGGAATGTCCACCTGTAAGGAGACTTCCTCCTTCCTGTCCATAGTGTTCATCAGGCAGTCAATTGTCAGGCGGGGCGGAGTCTTTCACACAAAACGCTGCGACCCGGCGGGGCTCGGCGGGGCTCGGCGGGGCTCGGCGGGGCTCGGCGGGGCCGGTGGAGCCCCAGCAGCGCGTTGCTTTGTGGAGTCTGCCGTCCTCCGAGTCCCCCGTCTCTGAGGCACTGACTTTGACTTGACTTTTGACTTGCTGCACAAGCTCTCATGTGGAGCCGATGCCCGAGGATGTCTACTGAAACCCGCGACTCAACGGAATAAGCAGAAAATGACACATCGCTCTACTTTTGGCACCACCCTTCAAAAACTTACCATGGACGGATGCTGTCTTTGAATGCAATGGAGAAACCTTGTGCACGACTAAACTTTCCACAAACGGCTGTGGTGACTCTCCAGCAATGATGGAATCGGGGATAATACAATTTCCAACCGCTTGCCTACCCTCTTAGATGGTTGGGTGTTTTTGCCCTACCTGGTACAATGGCACAAATTCGTATGTACGGCACACCGTCTGACACGCCCATTGCTGCTGTGGCCGGAACTCGGATGTGGCACCTACATTCCATTCGCCGGTCGTTCGACCAGCAGCGTCAGCCTCGCTGCCGCCGTTTGGCGTGTTTCGCCAGGTGAAAATGATTTCCTGAGGAAGTGGGCTGCGTCCAGCCTGCCTCCCAGGGGGCCGGGGTGCGACGAATCCGTTAGTGTCCAGTGTGCGGCCTGCAGGCCTGCAGCTGCAGACTCATTCCGAGAGTCGTTCTCGTCGCTGTCTCTCTCGCCCCGACCGGGGCCGTGCAATGAGTGCGAGAGAGACAGAGCGACGAGAGCGACTCTCGGAATGAGTCTGCAGGCCAGGTAGGCCAGGTAGCCGGCCGGTGGTGCCACGCAGTCTGGTCCGGCCGCCGTCCGTCTGGCCGAGCGGCTCTTTGTGGAGGTGCGAAGAGACGATCGCGGCAAGGACACGACACTGCCAAAAACGCTGGCGGCGGCGATGGGAGAGTGAGAGGCACCGCCGTGGGAGCGACCCGGGCGTCGAGAGAGCGGTAATCCCGCCTCGTGTTTAACGTTTCCGCGCGAAAGCATTTCCTCTTCCACTCCACCGTCCTCTAAATGCTTTCCCAGTCTTCCGCCACAACTCTCGGGGCTAAAACAAATGTCGGCGGTAAAAGCTTTGGTTAGGGCCAAGCTTTTTTTCACTCCCCCGCCGCGGTCACTGGCGTAACTGCCGCCGCGCGGCCAGAGCGGCGTGGCTCTTGGCGTGGCCGCGGCCCCGGCCGGCCAGTTGCGGCAGTCGCTGCGGCGCGGGCCGAGTTGGCGCGGCGAGGCCAGCTCCATTTGCCATCAATTTGCGGATGTTCGATAGAGACAAACGGCGCGGTCACTGCGGTGGCCACCGGCCCGCCGCGGCGACCCCTGGCCGCCCTGGCGGACGGAGCCAAAACTATCACTCCGCCAACTTTTCCCCCGCCGCTGCGCCACCGCCACACGGGAAAAAAGTGGCGGAGGTCATTTCTTGATCGGAGAGGGTGACCACGGCCCGCAGCGGGCAGCGCCTGCCGCTGGACACTTTCGTCGCTCTGTCTCTCTCGCACTCGTGGGGTGTCCCTGTCGGGTGCGAGAGAGACAGCGAAGAAGCGGTCCCTCGGAATCGGGTGGCTGGAGGCGAGTGGAGGGGGCTGAAAAAATATGGAAAGAAATCTGAAGAGGGAGAGAGAGGTGGGCGGAGACGCGAGGGGGAGGGGGCGGGCGTGGCTTGGCGAGGAGTTTAGGCGACGTTTGCGGCGCTCCAGAATAAAGTGCCACCATTAAGCAGAGACAACCTGCATTTGTCGTCCACATGCACGTCCACATTCGCGGCCACGCACTCACACACACTCACACACACACTCGCGTCCTAACGACGCTACCTAATAAAACAGGGCGTCGCAGCCAATGCCCGCAAGTGTCGTCTGCACAATGGAGAATCCATCCGCGGCGCCCCGCTCTCATGCCGATGGAAAACCCTTGCCTGGAGTTTGTGTTGCTGTCGGAAGAGTTTTTACGAAGACTGGTTCAAAAAGGTAGGTGTTTAAGAAGAGTTTATACGAAGACTGGTTCAAAAAGGTAGGCGTTAAAAACGAGGTGTCCAAGTCGCGACACTTCGGTTTTCAGTTATTAGAACGAGTGGGTGTCAAATCCCGTTCGGAGACAGCCTGCTTTCAAGTTGCATAGCTAGCTATTTTTGAACCAGTCCGACGGACTGTAAATTCCCGCAGGTGGTGTGGATTTAATTATTTCTTGAACGAGCGGTGTCCTTTTATAGCGTACCGGATGCTTACAGGCCAGCCACGCCTCGGCGCCCCTCGGGCGGTATCTCGCTGGATTGACGTAGTCTGAATCCGAGAGCGGAGGGTGCGGCCAAAGCGGGCCAAAGCCACCCCCGCCGGGGACCCGAGGGGGCGGACAAATCAAGAGTGGGGCTGTATGGCCTGATATATAGAGCCACGACAGCCATTGTATCCCCGTCTCTCTCGCACGCTCTCCACTTTAAAAGTCGCAATCGAATGAAATGGGGCGTGGGGGCGCTAGGCTGGGTGGGAGGGCTGGGAGGGGTTGGCTCGCTATCGCCTCCGGGATAAAAGTGGGCGCGGCGGAGCGGTGTGGTTGGCCGGGGCACTTCGCGACTCGCGCCTCACCTGGCTGCCGATCCTTTGACTACCAATGAGCCTGCGTGGAGGCTGCCGATGATTGCCCTTTGACTGCCAGTGCGGTGGCTCGCGCTGCACGTGCAGCAGGCAACCCGCTTCATTGTCCGGCAGGGCGTTCCTCGGACACGCAGACCTGGTGTGTGTCATGTCACCAAGGTCGTCACCTCCATCCCCGTTCACCCTGACTCCCGTGTGAGACGCTTGATGCGTAGGTAATTTGCAGGGTCACGTGTAATGTCTCTTTGGGGCTGTGGTGTGGGGCCTCTGGAACTCCCCTGACTTCTCTCAAGGGTGTATACAGAGTGTTCGGAAGCATACACTCTAAAAAATAATATAGGATTTTGTAACGATCTTGATACAAAATTCTGTAACACGTCAGTCGGATACAAAAATTTGTATCCTTGATCCTAAATTCTGTATCACGTCAAGAATGTTACGAATTTACGAATCAGTGCTTCAAAATTCTAAATCTGACACAAAATTCTGTACTTTTTGTTTCAATATTCACAATCAGTGATATAGTTCCATGTAAAAATGCGATCTTTATGCAAATAACTGTAACTGATACAGAAAACCGTAACATATCGTTACAAGTTTAGATATCGTCTGATGCAAAAATTAAAAACGCAAATTTAAAGTCAAGTTACGAGCTTAATTTTAACATCACAGTTGATCGGGCGAAAAGTCCTCACGTGGGGCATGGTACTTTAGAAGCTTCGGGCGAGGAACTCTAATTGTCGCGCCGCAGGGCTCGTTTCCCACCACTACCTGGGCATGCAGCGTGCCCGCTCGGTGTCATCGACAGTCTGCGGCGTGTCTCCCCATGCGGCGCAGTGGCGCAAGCGGTAGCATGCCGAGCTGGCAATCCGGGGGACCGGGGTTCGGTTCCGGAGAACGCAGTTCGGTTTCTCCGGGTATTCGGGAGTACAGGAGCGACGGAGTGAATGTGTAGGAATGAACGATCGTTGAGGTTCAAATTTTGTTTATAAAACGACAAATTTTTCTGATTTTTGCATTGCAGAATTCTGTAACCGGGAAACAGTTTACCGTAACGCGTGATACAAAATTTTATATCAGTGCTGATACAAAATTCTGTGACATTTGTAGTGGAAATTACTGCGTAACCATGTTACAGAATTTTGTATTGAAATTTTTTTGAGTGTAGGCCTCGTAGTGGCGCGGACTGACGCACAAATACAGGGCAAAATGGTCCATCTACTGGTTCGCGACTATAACCGTACGCTGTGCTCCCCCTTCCCTATCTTTATTATCCCGCTCATCCCCTATTTGCCCTGCAATCTTGGTGCGGCTCAGGAAAGACGCACCGCCGCCGGCGGCGTTGCTAGGCGTGGCTACACGCCGCGCGGAGGGCAGGCCCAGGCAGCCCACGCAACGCCCTTCCCTGGAATGTGCTGTGGTCACGTCGCCGGCGTTCCACTCCCTCTTTCCTTAACACTCAATAACAGCGGCAACTCCATCGCTACCAATAGTCTGGCCCTCTTGGAGGAAGATAAGATGGCGCTTGTGTGTGTGTGTGTGTGGCCACGCACTGCCGGAGGCCACGCTCGCAATAAAATTGACGACAAAGGCGTGAGTCACTGGTGCCTCATCCGAGTTAACTTTCGCTCCCCGTCGCTGCCAGTCCCTGCCGCCCTTTGTCGCCGTGATTTAGCGCGGGTCTCTTCATCACGGGGCGCAGGTGTAAATCACGAGTGGGGGACGTCATTCATGTTTGATTTGCCGCTTTGATGGGCGAGACAGCGACACAGATTCTTAGCAATGGAATAGTTTATTCGCCATTATTTTACAAAAGTACCCGCGGTCGTCGTGCGGAGGAAATAAAAAACAAACAAACTACAACAAAGGAATGCGTATAGAACTCTCAATCATGAGCAGAGCAATACAGATTATTAATAATAATATTAACTTTAACATTTTATATTAGTTTTTCACTTGTACATATAGTCGTTGTGCATAATTTATATATACAAAGCGTTTATTCACAGAAATACAACATGTTTGAAATGTACATCTTAAATTTAAACATAACTTAATGAAATATTCTTTGGTGAGATTTTCATACATTTCACATTTAACTACTACCCAGTTCCGATGGAACATAACGAATTATTGAGGAGAAATTCAAATAAAACTAAGATCACGGCCATAAACACTCAAACGGTCTAAAATAAGTAAACTCAACAATATCGTTACAATAATTATTACATGTAAAATCTAGGTTGTTTTACTAATAGCAGCAAATGAAACTATGCCGAGACGCTACGTAAGTAAGAAATCGGTTTCGTAAAATAAATTGAACGTTCCTATTCGGCCTACCAGATGCAGTCCTCAGTGTTGTGCACCGAAAGATCACAATTCATCTATGTGTTGTCAACACTCCTTCGCGCATAACCTGGGGCTTCTTACAATTTTAAATTTCTCAAGGAAACCTGGTACGACGTTTTTTCTTTTAAAATCAGTATTTTAATTTTTTCTACATTCATCGCGATCACAGAGAAACGCGGCCTTGAGCAGCTTCCCGGAAATACCTGCCATGAGCTCTCCGGAATTTCGGTCTGGTATCACAGTAGCTTTTTTAAGTATTACCGTGTGCATTCAGTTTTACAACAGAAACAGACAAGTTTTGGGTCATTTTTTTCTCTCATTTCACAAAGACTTAGTAGGCAGTAGTACTGGATCGAATGACTAGTCGAAACAACGTGTAGTCCACCTTGTGCAATCCCGAGGAATGCAATAAATTGGTAACTTGAGATAGTGCGCAAACCAAACCTCGTGGCAGGGCTTATTCGATTAAAATAAACAGAAAAAATATAACAAATCAACAAGAACTGCACACGAGAAAACAGTTGAATCGAGTTTGCACACAGTGTGCTGCCATGCCGGACACATTTTATGCGCCCTAGTGACACTACTTTAAATTCAGCAGTTTTTGAACAGGTGAAACTCTGGCTGCTCATTCAGTTCTACAAGTGTGTCGACATTCGCTCTGCTGCGATTCACAGAAAGGACCACAGTTTCTTTTAAAGGTAGCGAAAGAGATGTGTGCACTTTCCGAGCCTGTCGGAAAGTTAGACAGTACAGTTCTTTTTCCTTCTTCTTTTTGACTAGTTGGTAAAAATACAGAAACGCGGAAACGAACAAAACTGGGACGCAATCATTTTGGTTTTCGGAACACACTCGTCGCTGAACGGGTGGCATCCCAACACGGCAGTGCGGGTACCAGGCCAGTATTTTACAGCAAAAACTCTGGTGGGGGGAAGGAGACCCGAAGATGTGTCGGTCACTGCCGGCTGCTTAGTGGCCGTGCAGCTCCTCGGCCTGCCGCGCCAGCTCCCGGCGCAGCTTCCTCGCCTGCGTGTTGCGGTCGCCGTCCTCGCCCTCCGAGTCCTCGCCCGCCTCGCCGTCCGCCTCCTGCTCCTCGTGCTTCCGCTTGGCCGTCGCCATCTCGGCCGCGTGCTTCTTCCGCCACTTGGTCCGCCTGTTCTGGAACCACACCTGCAACAAAAACAAGCGTTAGGATTCGCGAAACAACAACAACAAACGTGTTGGCCGACACTTGAGTGCAAGAGCCAGGGAGCAACAACAATGACAACAAAAACAAAGGCAGAGTGCCTGAATCGCCCTGAATGATCCAAATGGCACCGCCCTAATCACGCCATTGTCGCACCGAGGCGTCGTTTACAAGCGTCGCGAGGGTCCTAATGCCGCTTCCTGGCCAGCAGACGACGCGACTTGTGTTTATTCAGGGCGTGTTGTTTCTGAATTCATAAAATTATAAGTCTTAATGATGCGGAGAGGAGGAGGGGCGAAACTAATTATTGCAATGAATTCGTCCGGCGCTTGTTGCGGCAGCGGGGAGGAGGAGGGGGCGGGAGGCGCGCAATTAAATTAATTCCAATTCCGCAACAGAAGTTGCGCCACCAACGGAACGGACCTGAGTCGCTTCGAACCGCGGCCATGGACGCGTGCTCGCGGCTCTCGCGGCCATTGGAGGAGTGGCTGTGGCCTGGCGTGCCTGGCGCCGGGAGGGGGAGGGGCAGCCTTAGCGCCGCCAGCCCAGCGCCAGCACAGCGCCAGCACAGCGCCAGCACAGCGCCAGCACAGCGCCAGCACAGCGCCAGCACAGCGCCAGCACAGCGCCAGCACAGCGCCAGCACAGCCAGCACAGCCAGCAGCGAGGCGAAGCGCCAGCCCAGGCGCCAGCCCACCGCCGTCCATTTTATTCGCTGCCTGTCGTCGAAAACGACTCACTCCCTCCTCGTCCCGGGCGCCACTCCATCGCCACCACCACCGGTTCGAAATTTTGCATTCGTGTGCGAGAGCTGCTCGTTGGGACGGATGGGGCACCGAAAGAAGAGAGTCATGTCGCACCTTCTGCTTACTCACATTGCCCACCTTTAAGGCGTTTTCTTTGAGGGGGTGGGCCATGACCCATAACCTCTGAACGCAGCTGGCAAGAAGGGGTGTAGCTTCTCCTCAGCTCCACCCCTTTGTTGCCATATCGTTTTGGTTTGTGTGCTCTTCCGTCCGTTCCAGTGCAGGTAACGGGCGACGCGGGCTCGCCGCTTCACCGGGGCGTCGAAAAGTGGCCTAGAAACGCGAGTCGAGCGCGCAGCCCATTCGCACGCTGTCTCCCCCTCGCCCCCACCCTGCTGCTCAACGTGTTCGTCCAAACTTCCCCAGCGGTCCACCACCATCCCTCTTGCTGCCGCCTCCTCCTCTCACCCCTTTTAGCTCCATCTCCCTCTCTCCCGCTGCTCCTCCGTCTTTTGTTTTGTAATTCACTGCTCGCCCATAAATCTTGGGCGGTATGAAGTTACGCTGTAATAATGGTAAACACGGGCAGGACAAAAGGGGCTGAAGCTAATTAGCTTCTCTATCAGAGAGAGAAAGGCGGCCTGGCCTTTCCCTCCACGCGTAGCGTGGCGTTAGCTACACACTTCCTTGTCTGGCGACGATAAAAATATTTGAAGGAATGAAAGCGGATAGGCGGCGGTGCGGTTGGCACCCCTAGCCTGCGTCCCCTCCTATCTTGTCTCACTTAGCTGGAAAGTTAGCGGGCCGCGTGTTTTAATGCTCATCAGAGGCACACCTTGCGCCGTGCCCGCATTACAAGTGGCTGCCAGTGGCTGTGGGGCTTGCCTGGCTCCGGCCTGGCTCCGGCCACACTGCGCCAAATTTCAAACAAATGACTCGGGGACATTGTTGGCAAGTCCTTGGCCGCTTTGAATGGAGCGGCAGCCAGCTCGGGGTGCTCTCTCTCACATACAGACACACACACACACGCACACACACACACAGAGCCTCGCCTGCCCTGGATAAAACCACACATTCTTTTGGTGATTCCACCGGATGACAGTTTTCGCTTCGACATCTGTTCGCAACAAGGTCAACGAGAGAGAAAGGGGAAAAGAGAGGAAAGAAACATGCATGGCGCGGCATTCAAAAGCCCGTCAGATCATATTTATTATAAAACTATCGAACTGGCGCGCCACAGCGAGCGCCGCGCGCATGTGTGTGTTTTGTTATTTTTCGGCGCCGCCTAAATTGGGATTAATTCGTTACCGTGGTATTATTTTCTGATTGGGCACGACCCACACGTCCCATTTGATGCGGGGGATGGACTGTCTTATAAATATGGAAATAGAAATGTTTTGTTTTGCGGCGTATATGTGTGTGTGTGTGTGTGTGTGCGAGTGTGTGTGTGTGTGCTTGCGCGTGCTTGCGTTCGGTTAATCCGTCTCTTTGTATGCAATGCTGCATACCATATTTTCATCCTGGTCCATACCGCCCCGTGCGCGGCGCCCCGAATGGCCTTCCAAACTTACACAATGTGGAATCGAACGGGGGGCTCGAATAAGGTATTTAGAAAGCATAATTTCAATTCGCGTCCGGGCGAGCGGGCCACATTTGGTTTCGGTGTGCGTGGTTCAGCCGCCGAGGTAAATGCATACCCTCGCTGATCCAACTAATGATCCTCCAATAATGTAATTCTGAATTTTTCTCGGGATCATCTTAGTTTGAGATGGGAATCGTGGACCTAGGCGCATGCAAAAAGTGTCGCTGAATAGGGGTTCGCCCTCGTAGGCCTCCATTGGAATGGATTCGAATCGTGTCCCCGTCGTCCTCGACTCTGCAATATTTGTTTCCTCAGAAGGTTGAACGCGGCGCGGGGCGAGTCCCCCCCCCCAATTTATTGATTTTCTTTTATTCTGTTGGTTTGACGGTTGGGGCCACGTGCGCGATATTGGTCGGCCGCTGCGAATCAGGCCCGAGCCTTGGGTACCGCTGGCAGCTCTGCTCGCGCGCTGTCGGCTCTTTTTCGTCGCGTTCCCGTCAGTTGTTGCCATACACGGCACAATGTCAGCATCTTCCGGTGCAGATTCGGTTGCCGTGTTTTGCAACAAGAACCTCGTCGTTGCGTTCAAATCGTGGCGGCAATCTTAATGATGCTGCGCTTTTTTTTCCTCCCTCATTTTTTTAGGTCAAGGTTGTTGGAAACTCATCTCTGGAAGCTCTGGGAGTGAGAGAGAGAGAAAGGGGGTGGGGGTGCAAAAAGCGAGTCCCTGTTTATTTCGAGGCGCATTAATTCTTTTAATTAAATGGCCAAACAAGAACCGCGGCCATCTTCATAAAGCCGAGACGAGCGCTGTAATGGACGCCCCACTCGTGACAACGCGCAGAAACGTTAAGTCCACCGACAAATTTCACTTCGCCGGGCAAGTATGTAGTTTGTTAAAATTGTTTAGTTTTTGTTCTCTTTTTCCCTGTATCTCTGTGTACTCGATCCTGTAGCTCATCCTCTCATACGACCAAAGTTACATTCGTTCTAAACGCTAAAACAAAAGTGCGAAAAAATAAAGAAAAATCTCTTTGATGCAGTGGTCGGAGAATTTTAATACCGCTGGATGAGGTCCCTCGCTCACTAGACAGAGACAGAGAGAGGGGGAAGGGGGTGGGAACCGGGAGAGCCATCCACACAGCAGCGGGGGAGCAAAAAAAATCTCACTCTTGGCGTCCTTTTTTAGTATTATTGTTATTAATATTATTTTCGCTTGCTTTGGTGTAAGCCCTCCCCCGGGTATGGCGGGGGCGCGGTAACGGCGGTAACGGCCAGGGCAGTTGTACAGTCACGCAAATGGCGGGCCACTTCCCCGGTGCTGCAAGTGTGTGGTTTGGGCCGTTCTGGGTTCGTCAAACGGACGGACAGACAGACGGATGGTCGGGCAGCCGGACGGATGAAGCGGGTCCTGATTCCGCGGACCGATCTTCATTTATTTTGCGCTCGCTTCATCAGAGAGCGCGCTTTAACGACTTTTCATTCCCTTTTTATTCCGCGCGCCCTTTTTTCCCCGCCCTTTTTTCCCGAGACAGGCAAGGGCTGGCGAGAGAGAGGCTTGACGCCGCCGCCTCGCCAGCGCGCCCGTTTCACTAATTAAAAAACATTGTTTGGCAGGTCAAAAATGGCATCAGCAACTTCACCGCAGAGACGCGACGCGCCTATTCCGGCCCAGGCAATCCCGGACCGCATAGCAATTCTGCGGATAAGGGCCGAGGTTCAAATACTCGGGCGTTAGGCGTTTTACTTTTGTCCTCCCTCTTCTTTTGGGTGGAAACTGTGCGAATAATGTTGACACTAAAGGAACCCCGCACCTCAATCACCCTTTCCGGTGTAGGTCCTCTCACCCCCGCCCCCTTCCTGCGCGGGCGTGAGCCGAGCAGGTCGGTTATCAAAGGTATTAAACTGCGATAAAAGGAGCTTCGGCCTTCCCATCGCTCGTGTCACTTTGATAGCCACAAAATATAAAAGCCGTGCCGCGCAGTGGTGCCAACATTGCGCGTGGCAGGGAAGGCCGAAAAAAAGCGCGTCTCCGCCGGCGTTCGAACCCGCGCCTCGCCTCCGATAAGGCGAGGTCGGCTTTATTACGTGCGCATTAGCATAGTGTGAACAACACTCGCTTTAAAGCGAAAGCCGCGATCAATTCGAGCCTAATGCGTGCGCCACGCTCCACCCCCCGCGAAGCCACGCCCCACCACGCCCCTTTAAACTCGCGAGGGCTGCGGGCGAGGAGGATCTGATTACAAACCTCTCATAAATATTCGAGCGAGATAAGGTTTGATTGTCTCTGAGCTTCCCACACACGCGGCCGGCCGCGCCGCGGTTTGAAAATGCAAAAATGGACATCGACGTGACGCCGCGGAACTGTGTTGTCGCGTCGCGGGGAGATTATTGGGCCGACGGCGTGGCGCCGCGGCGTGCAAGTATCACGTAACGCTCCCGTAGCAGCGAACATTGTCACCCCAGCTCTTCATCACAAAGAAATTCTTAATTTTAAAATTTAACCGTATACTTTTGCTCCTTTTAATGCTTATCACCTCGAGTCAATTTGATAACGAAATGTTGATCCATTAACTATTAATCTGTAAGATAGACCTTCTCTCTGAGGATACGAAGGGTGTCAGGCACGGACAACATCTTCCTTTATGTGTTTGTT